GGACGGGTTTACGTCCTGGATAGGCAGCAGTCGGATAGAGCTCCAAACCTTATCAGAGGTAATGTTTCCATTGGTGGAATTACTGTTGATATTTTTTTTTGATTCCGGGGATATGCATTCTTGTATTGCAACCCTGATTGCTGTGGGGCTTGAGTTGTCCATGTCTGTGCTTTCTCCACCGTTGCGGGTGACTACCGCCACCGGAGAAAGGTGTGATACTACCACTGTTCATCGAGATGTCGTGTTTCAGTGGGATGGCCGTGACTACTCGGTAGATCTGATAGGATTGCTGATGGCTAATTTGGAAATCATTCTGGGCATGGATTGCTGTCCAGAAATTGCGTGATGATTGTTTGTTGTTCCTAGTGTGTGGTGATGTCTCCGTGTGACTCCACAGCCAGTTCCTCGCCTTGTATATCATTATTGCAGGCTAGGAGATCCTTGAGTGCAGAGGCATTCAGATATGTCATGTTGGGAGGTTTGGTGAGTGGAGCACAAGAGGATGTCACTGGCATTCTTGTGGTGAGGGAATTCCTCGAGGCGTTTCTTGAGGAGATTCCTGAGTTTCCGCTACAGCGGGAGATAGAGTTCTCCATTGACTTGTTTCCTGGTGTGGGGTCTATTTCTTTAGCTCCATATTGGATGTCGCCAACTGAGTTGGCAGAGCTGGGAAAGCAAATTAAGGATCTTTCGGCGAAAGACTTCATCTGACTGAGCGTGTCTCCATGGGAAGCACCGGTCATGTTGTTATTGAGGCAAGATGCCTTACGCCATTACTTAAGCGTGATGGTGCTCTGTTTGAGTATGTGAAATTCTCTTCAGGGAAGCTAAGTGTGTAATACTTGGACTTTGTGGAAAGGCCACGCGCTATCTTGTATATGCGAGGCAGTGCATGTACATGTAGCTTGTGGGTTGAGTGGTCTCCATGACTCTAGATTATTTTTTTGATTATAGATATGTCTCGTAAGTAGTTGGCATGTTAACACCATGGGTAGTGTAAAGCATGACATGAGTACGATAAACTGTGGTAATGCATCAATATTATTTCACCTTTAATTGACTCTCGATTTTGCAGATGCCATGGAGATTGAGGTATACTGTTGCATTGAGTTTTTGATTTATTATGATATTGGAATTGAAAATTTTGCAGGTGTACGTGAACTAAGGTATATGTCACTATGTGAATTAGTATGTTAACTAACATGTATTGGTTGAAATGAACGTGATCATGATTTCGTACTGTGAAATGAATATGAATTTATTTTGAGGATATTGATTATAATTTGTAAGTCTTGTCGAGGTTAGAGTCATGGAATGGGACCAAACTCACTCAAGTTTTGTGTGGTTTAGAGGATGTGGGGTCAGGTCACCTCTATTGAGAAAGTGACTGATGATCCCAGAGAATCGGATGACGTTTTGATGTCATTATGAAACTTTGAGTTTTGACGGTGACCTCTTTGTTTGGGGGTGCACTTCTCGAGGCGAAGATTGTAAGAGTCGAGAATGAATTTTTGGAGAAAATCCAATAAGCGCAAGTGCTAAGAGAGTGCCGGGATCGTGTGAACAACCAGGACAGTGTGTCTTGGAAGAAGGAAGAACCTTGTTGCTTGTGCTTAAAAGTGAAGATTGAACACTAGAAGCCGTTTGGTAAGCTTCAACCTTTTGAGGTACTGCAGTGGAAATGGGAGAGCATTTCCATGGACTTCGTGGTGGGTTTGCCTAAGGCTCAGGCTGGTATTGACTCTATTTGGGTCATTGTGGACAGATTGTCAAAGTCTGCCCACTTTCTTTCGGTACAAGTGAGTTTCTCTTCATAGCAGTTGGCCAAACCGGTCATTCGCGATATCGTGAGTCTTCAGAGGGTGCCCGAGAGTATCATCAGTGATAGGGACCCGAAGTTCACCTCTCGGTTCGGGGAGGCGCTTTAGAGAGCTTTTGGAACTCAGTTGCTACTGAGTACAGCCTATCACCCTTAGACTGTTGGACAGACTGAGCGGATCATTTAGACCTTGGAGGACATGTCGAGGGCTTGCACCTTGGAGCAGGGCCCAACATAGGATAGGCTGGCATCAGTTGAGTTTTTGTGCAACTGTGTTTTCCTTGCTAGCCTGGGCAGGGAACCCTACGAGGAGCTATTTGGTAGGAGGTGTAGAACTCCTACCTGTTGGTCTGAGGTTGGAGATAAAGAGTTATTTGTCTTGGACCTTGTTCAATTTACCACCAGCCGATTCAGATGATCAGAGGAAAACTGAAGCAGGCGCTGAGTCGCCAGGAGAACTACTTTGATGTTAAGCATCGTCCACTGGAGTTCCGTAAGGGTGAGCACGTGTTTGTGAGACTTTAACTGTCAATGGTGTTGTTCGGGAACTCAGAGTGAGGAAACTAAGCTCGCGATTCATTAGGCCATACCAGTTACGTGGTAGGGTAGGATCTGTTGCCTACCGATTTGCCTTGTCTCCGAACTTGACCAACACCCATGACGTGTTTTTCGTGTCTCAACTTCGCAAGTTGGTAGCGGATCCTTCGCACGTTGTACAACCGGATGTTGTGGAGGTTCGGGAGGACTTAAAAACTCCCGTCGGACCACTCAAGTTTCTCGATCGTGGCGAGAAGCAGCTGAGGAGCGAGATCATTTTGATGGTCAGAGTACGATGAACGAGAAGAATTCCTGAAGGGTAATTCTAGTAGCGAGAGGACGAGCTTCTCCGGCAGTATCCCGCGCTTCGAGACATGTATGTTTTCTGATTTAGAGGGCAAAATCCTAAAAAGGTGGGGTGAATGTAAGAACCCTCACCGTTAATTAAGGAAGTTAATTAATTAATTAAGAGAAATTAGGAAATAATTCCATAATGGATCCTAATAATTATTATGAGACTTTAATAATTATAGTAAGTGAGTAATAATGCTGAAAGTCGCTTTTCGGACGAAAAGTGCAGATACCGGTTCTGCTACTCGGTATAAATGCGTACCGGTGAATTATCCCAGAAATTATGAAATGTGTGTTTATGTCACTAGAATAATATATAGGACTTGTAAAACAAGTTTCAAGTTAAAATAATGAGAACTGGTGCCAGAACTGATACTGGCTATGGAAAAGGAAAGGTGCTGCGAAAAATAAAATAAAAATATGACAAATCTTAGAAAAATGAGTAGGTTATGATTCCAAAGTTTGGGATCAAAATGCTAAGCGTAGCAATTAGCGTTAATATTGTGCGATTAAAACTTAAGTGACTATATATACATTAGTTTGGCACTAAACCCTAGGCCATAACTCTTCATACGTGACTCTTGAGGGGCTGGTCAGCTGGTGCTTGGTTCTATTATCTTCCTTCACCATTTTCTTGACCAAGTTGTCACCTTTGCTTGAGTTCTTCACCTTTGAGCTTGTATACACTTGAGAGCTATTATTGTGAGGGGGTAAGGGTGCATATTCTGAGTTCTTGCCACTGTGTGAAGTCAGTTTTGAGAGCTGAGTTTGAGAGTTGGGATATGGGAACCTTGGTGATGCCATTCTCTTGAAAAAAATATCCAATTTTTATAAAAAAAATTTACAAATTTTGTATCAAATATTACATAATTAATAATGAACATTGTTTACTAAATAATAAAAATGGTAAATCTAAAATATATATATATATATATATATATATATATATATAACATTTTACTATAAAAAATACATCGCTTCAATTATTCATTTTACTTGTTGACAAATTCTGGTCCATTCCTTTTATACATCATGCGATAGCATTTCCGAACAAAAAACTCAAGATAATACCGAAATCAATCCAAACACATGATGATGACAAGATCAGAGTTCTGCCCTTTGGGTCAGTCGTTCAAATGTTTGTCGGAATGAGTGGTGCGCAGCTGCAGCAGCGAAGTCTTGGTGGCTGAGGGCGGTCCACGGTGGAAATTTTATATGATTTTATGCATGCATGGGTTTTGATTACCTGTGTCAACCTTATTGATAATTGATAACTGTTCTTTTACTATAATTTATAGGAAATGTTGTCAATTAAGGCGTACAAGGAATCTTCGTAAAGGAATATTGTCAGTTTGGTAGAGGAGAAAATTTGTTTTATCAGTAAATCACAATTATTGGGATATGATGAAAAAATAAATTTTCTGGAATGATAAAAAAAAATTATTTGGTAGACTAAAATATTATCTGAAAAATTGGTTTAAGTTTCCTTGAGTCTATTTTTGGTTGAGGATAAAATATTGCTAGAAAAATGGGTTAAAATTACCTAACTCTTGCCTATCAAATTTTGGCAGGCTGTTCCAGGGATATTTGTGTCCAAATTTTTGCTCTCCAATTTTTTTTTCCAGCTAATTCAAAATATCACACTCTGGGTGATATTCTCAAGTGGTAATTTGGATAAAATTTTATACTAATATCACATTCTCATGCAAATTAGAATCCTAAGCAAATTTTTTAAAAATCCTTATCAAACGTGGTTTTCTTTGAATCGCATGTGAACTTTCTGAGGCAACAAAATAAATTAGCATTTGGTAAATCATAAAGAAAAAAAATAGGGTTGAAGTAATTGTTTGCTAATTTGGTAAATCATGTGGATGTTGCATTGGTTAATTTTTGGGTTGAAGTGATTCTTTATATGATATTAGAGTCTTCAGTGACCCTAAGATCACGAGTTCGATCCTTACTGTTTCCACTTGTGGAATTAAATAAGCATTTGGTAAATCATAAAGAAAAAAAATAGGCCTATGCAACATCCACGTTTTAAGCCCAAAACTTTCTTGGGTGAGGGGATATGTAATAGAATAATATACATCATTAAAAAACACCTTCACCAAATACCTTAAAATTTTAGGTTGAAGTGATTGTTTACAAATATTAATATTTCATTGTTTAATAGATCGTTTATTATCATCTTAGAAGTTCCAATACATTCAAGTCAACATATATTGCAATATGTGTTCGAATCCTCCCAGTATCACCTTTGGGAGGGGTTTAAAGTCTTAATCCTGGACCCGCCCCGAATCGGATTAGTTGCGAAGCGATGAACCGATTGGAATATTTCCAAAGAAAAAACATATATTGCAATAACTCATATTCATAAGGCAGTTGAAGAAGCGCAGTACATCCTAAATTATTCTCACAGTGAGCTAGCATGGATTCAAGAGAAGAGATGCAATGTCATCCTTTGTTGATCCTTTAGAGTGAACGTAGCCATCTTCATCTTTGTAAAGAACATAAATTACACGTGATAGGTTGAGAGCTACCCTTAGGAGAGGCTTTGGCATTTCGGTAGGGTCAAGGAATTCCTCATTGATATCCTTCCAAGCACTTGTCACACGTCTATTTAATTCTTCAATGGCATCTTGCTTTGTGACACCGTGTTGCCTCATGTAGCACTCAATAGAAGACACGTCATTTCCTCTCTTCAGCTCAATCTAGTCAAAATAAAGGGAAGAAACTATCAAACATATTGTAATATAAATAAATAAGGAAGGAAGTTGATTCTAATTAATTATGATTAATTACCTCGTTGGAAACAACATCATTCATGAGTCTACAAATAACTTCTGAAGCTGTAACAATTTTAGGGTCATTGGTTAACCATTTGAAGGCCTCTTCTGTAGCAATACATCCCACCCCAATAAAGGCTGCGGCTGTGAGACAATGGTAACCACAACTTAAAAGTGCTTTATCCATGTACTCTTCCATTGTCGGTGTATAATTGTTATTGAGCCATTTGGCCTCAACAAAGTAGACTTTGGCCAACCTTTTCACCTGATATCACAATATAATTTACAATAACAAATGAAAGTTATACACATTAATTTGGAGACATAAACTATGTATTAAAATTCCTTGTTCCTAGTTAGATCCTGTCTAAATAAATAAACTCTCGCTAACGAAGGTTGGCAGATCTGGTTGAACCTTTTGTCATATTAATTGTGGCTTGGATTCGATTCTCAGTTTTCCCTTTTTGACATGGGTGTGATCTCCCCCAATCTAAGCTGTTATGTACCAAAAAAATTAAATATAACTCTTCAAGAAAAATGGAGTCAGAGTCTTACTTCATTTTTGACATATTTTACACAGAATCCTCTTCCTTCCTTGGCCATCTCTTGTTCGATTTCTTGAAAAACATCCAAGAGTGCTTGGTAGCAAAATTTCATGTAATCTGGCAGAAATTCCATGCAGCTGATATCCCACCTAAAATGTCCATTAATTATCTAAAAGGTCATCAAAAGGTTAACAAATTTAACTCTTTCTAAAATTTTAATTAATTCAAGTAGGAAATGAAAATGAACATTTCGTAGTTAATTTAATTAAACCCCAAACCTGTCTATTGCTTCGGTGAAAACATGGAGCTCTTCAAATGTACCATGAACATCATATATATCATCAATAATTGATGCCATGGATATGGCCTTGGTCATTAGCCTTCTACCAAGTGAGTATTGGGGCTCAAAATACACTCCCAGTGTCCAAAAATAATCTTCCACAATCCTATCGCGTGCAAAAGGTACTTTTGTTGCAAAATCCATATCTTTCCACCACCTAATTCATTAAACACGACCAATTTCTATAACCAAGACATGAGTGACTTGCATGTGAAACAAATTAATGCTTTCTAATTATTTATTAAAGTGGTGCATGTGGTTTAAAAACTTACTTTGAAATAATTCCAACTTCCTTCTGATGTTGTTTTTGGAGCATATTAAAATCCAATTTGGCAAATAATAGCAAAGATTCATCATGGGAAGGGTCTTCCTCGTAAGTAGAAATGTAATGCCTTGCCACTAATCTAGACACGTTCTTGCGTAGTGGCCGCTTTAAGCTATGATTGACTTTTGCAGCAAGAGAAGGACTCAATTGGGTGGTCATTAACTCAAGATGTGAGGAAGTGAAACCTAGTGCTTCATCTAATATGTCCTCTCCATGAATCCTGAGATGTGCAGCTTCATACAAGCTTAGCATTCCCTCAACATCAGTAATAATTGTTTCATTGAACTTTCCTTCCTCATTCTTGAACTTCTTGAAAACATCTGAGATTTATTAACCAACCACAATTTAACTTCATAAATTAACTTCTTGTACAATTAAAATGTTATAAAAATAGATAAGGTGGGGCCTACCAGGCGAAATGTAATATCCTTGTTGCCTCAGTAACCTAAAGAGAAGGGCAAGAGAATAGAGGTCTTCATTGAGAGTTATTATACCATTTTCAACATAACTATTGTGAATGTGTTGCAACACTTCACCAATCTCACGTTCAAAATGATAGCATAATCCCAAACGTTGGACTGAATCAATCAAGTTAGCTTGTGTCAAGGGCCTAAAGGCCTTAGCATTTATAGGCACTAGCATCTTGCTCACTTTTTCATTTAGTGTTATAATCTGTCTCTTCGTTATTTCATCCACTTCCTGCACGTATAACTTATGTGATGTGTTAGTAATATCAATAAAGATATTGTCAGGCGGGTTAGCGGGATTTCATGGCAGTGGACCACTATCAATGAGTCAGGCTACATCAAGCGGGTTCGATACAATGTCTCAACCCAAAATTTTAAAGCATTGGAATTATATGAATCCTCCCACTTATATAATTTTCGCTTAGCCCGTTATCAAACTATGTGAAACTTTATCACATTTGAATATTCCAACAGATATATACTTGAACATTAATATAACACCTTTATCCAAAATTAATTGGGTCGGTGTTAGATCAATCCAAATAAAAAGTAATTAAAATTGAGAGGGAAAAAAAGTTATACTTCATATAGATATACACCTAGATACATACACAAAATATGTGTGGCTCAAAATGATTAATTATGTCCATTAGATCACGTATATGCATGTTAGAATCATATGCATACATATATCTATATTGCACATGTAAAAAAGCTTAACAAGAATAAAGTTATATTACCATAGGTTCTAAAGCATATTGAATAAAATAATCCCCCCAAACGGTGGGATGAAAATCTGCCGAACGCCGAGAACCGGAGGAGGCGTGAGGGGTTGGAGTAACTAGTGATGAAATTGCTGAAACTGACATAGTTTTCCTTTCAGGGTTATTGAGACTATTGTTTCAAACTATATTGGGTACACTAAATGGCTACATAAACTAATAATCAGTTCACTTGAGTGCTTTGAATGGGGAAGAGCTTGTTTTTGTGTCTATATTTATAGGAGTTTCTTGGGTAAAGAGGAATTGCAACATGAAAAAAATACCTGGTTTCGGAACTAAAAAGAATATGGACTTTTTTTATGTCCGTACAATAATTGATTCCACTTCAATATACCTGTTTTAACACATGGTTCTTATAAAAAGAATCACTCACTAATCCCATCGATAACCAGAGGCGGACCCAGGAGAGATTAGGGTGGGCCACCACTCCTCTCTGATTTTTAGAATTTTTTTTTACTATATATATATATAATTTTAGGTTGAAAAAAATTAATTTTGAATTAAAAAAATAGTAATTGTCTGAAAATTTCAAAAAAACTTAATCAAACAACTTTAGAAACACAACTTTGTTTTCAAAGTGCCTACATAGAGCATATTTTTTTCTACATGTCACGTTTTTCCTCATGTCCTTTTCCTTTCGTTCTTATTCACCTCTCATGTCTGCTCCACACTCTACATATTTGGCTATTTCCTATGCCAACCTCTTTGTATATTGTGCCAGCTGCCAATTATGATAGGCTCCTTGTGGCTGAAGCTCTCCAACACAGAGTCCCACCCTCAACAGTTAGAAATGCACTTCTCTATCTCTATGATAGAATCTCCAATAAGGATTTTCATTTGGGTACCAACTAACTCCGTTTATTGTACCTTATGCTCTCTTCAAACCCTTGGGGCAAACACTCTACCCAAACGACTCTAGTATTAGTATGTGATAAAAGGAGGATGTTACGAAGTTAAATAATAAAATAGCTAAGAAAAAAAATTAAAGTTTTAAAGTTTTAAAGTTTTAAATAAAGATAAATAACACTTTAAAATTTAAAAATAAAAAAGAATAAAGAATATAAATGAGGTAGGTTATATTTACAAATTTTTTGTTTACAAACTATACTATGTATCACGAGTAGTATACGGTCAAGAAGTATGTACTACTCGTAGTACGTAGTGTAATTTATAAGAGTTTGTAAACAAAAAATTTAAAAATATAATCTTTATCAATATCCCCGCTAGCGAACATTATTGTTATCTTGAACAATATTGTTATCGTAGTGACCATTTATTTAACGTGAAAAACTTGAAAAACAAGATTGTTATCTTGAACGAGCGCGCTTGGCTTTTTTCCAACTGTTATGGTCTGATTTATAATGACCATTTATGTAACTATATACACTTTTATTCCGTTCAATTTTCATTTAAAGTATCTTGATTCTTTAGCTTTTTTTTTTGGTGAGGTGATTCTTTTGCTTTTAACTAAAAATATATGACTGTTAAATATTTTATCATTAGATAATTTTATTTCTTGTTATTAAATAATTTTTAAATAGTATCCTTCAAATATAAATTAATTAATTATATTTTAAAGATTTTTAAGGAGATAAACTCAAAAAAAAAAATTTGGTCAACCTTAAAGCATGCATGGTTTCTTTTGTGTGTGCGCGTGCGTGTGTTGCTTGTGTGGGTACGATCAACTTACACAAATATGTGTGTGTGGGTAGATCAACTTACAAAAATATAAGAATAATAAGTCTTACACTAAATTTTGCCCATTAATTTCTATATATCTAACGGTTGTAATTTATTGGGTCACACTCATTAATTTTAGGCGAATTAATGAAGGGTATTTTCGTAATTATGTTTATTTTTTATCATATACATTTTACTAAAACACTCTTCATTAATTCACCACAGAAACACCATTTATTAATCAAAACGACGTAGTTTTTGGGTAGCTGTAGATAACTTTATCTAAATTGACTGTAGAAATATTTTTTCCTATATATATATATATGGGCAAGTTATGTTTATAATTTTTTTCTTTACAACCTCAACTATGTACTCCAGGAAATACAGTCTCAAGTATTTGTACTACCCATAGTATATAGTTGAGGTTGTAAACAAAAGTTGTAAACGTAACTATTCTCATATATATATATATATATATATATATATATATATATATATATATATATATATATATATATGGGCAGGGTTGAATTTATAATTTTTTTCTTTACAACCTCATCAACTATGTACTCTGCGAGAAGCAGTCGAAAGTATTTGTACTACCCGGAGTACATAGTTGAGGTTGTAAACAAAAAAAATTGTAAACGTAACTATTCTCATATATATATGTATATATATATATATATCTTACTCTCAATTTTAATCGTTGATTTTTGATATCTGACGGTTATAATTTATTGGAAATTAATAATTAATTAATGAGAATAACCTAATTAATTACAGTCGTTTGATGGACGAAAATCAAAGGTGAAGATTGAGCGTGAGATTTATTATTCTTACACTGATATAAATTGATCATGTCCATATATATATATATATATATATATATATATATATATATATATATATATATATATATATATATATATATATATATACACGTGTGTGTGTGTGTGTGCGTGCGTGTGTGTATATGAGTGTGTGTATGTGTGAGAGAGGAGCGTTATTCTTACAACTTAAAAGTTTTACAACTTCTTACAACCTATTTTTTCATCGTTGATTTCCGTCAATCTAATGATTATAAATTATAATTATCTAATAAATGTGACACAATAAATTATAACCGTTGGATTGACGGAAATCAAAAGTAAAAAATTGTTATAAGATGTTGTAAAATTTTTAAGTTGTAAGAATAATCTTCCTCTATATATTTACAAACTCTTACAACTAAATCTTAACCATTGATTTCTGTCAATTTAACGGTTATAATTTATTGTGTTAAATTATTATCGTTAAATTGACGGAAATCTACGTTAAGATTTATTTGTAAAAGTTTGTAAATATAATTCTTCCCTATATATATATAATAAATCTTACACTTAATTTAACATGGTGATGGGGCCCACAACCTAAAAATTAAAAAAAAAAGAAAAGAAAAAGGTTGCACGGTTATGAAGGATGTGTAGGAAGGAAAACTTATCTCATATAACATGATAATAGTTTATATATATATATATATATATATATATATATATATATATATATATATATATATAGTGTTTTATTAATCTCAAGTTATCTTATGTCATAGAGACAAATTTGTGAGCTCCACCACCTGAAAAAAAGGTGGCACAGTTATCGAAGGGTGTGAAGTAGGAACAATTTATCTCAAGTAGTATGAGAATAGTTTTTCCCATATATATATATATATATATGTGAAAAATATTTTGTCCTTTTAAAGGACACAAGTTGTGTCGTTTTAGCTGTTTTTAACTATGTACTCTCAGCGTATATAGTTATAATATTAAAGTTATACCTTTTTACTTTCCACATTAGCTGACATCTTCTGAGGAGAGAGAAAAAAGTACAGCTTTAATATTATAACTATGTACTCCTGGGAGTACATAGTTGTGAGCAGCTAGAATGACAACTTATTTACCAAAAAAAAAAGAATGACACAACTTACATCTTTTAAAATGACAAACCATTTTCCTATATATATATATATATATATATATATATATATATATATATATATATATATATATATACAGGGCTTAACATTTCTGCAGCAGCCGTAGATAGTGTTATCTACAGCTGACACAGAAAAGTGGGCCCCACGGCTCTTTTTTTTTAAAAAAAAAAAAAAAAACTCAGGATCCGTTGCTGTATCCTAGGATTCGGACGCGGATCATTGGTTGCTGTAGGTACAGCAGCTGCAGAAATCGTTTTGCCATATATATATACATATATATATGGGTTTAGCGGATGTACAGTCACTGCACTTGAGGATTTGTGCAGTCATATAAAACTATGTCGATTTATAGTTTGAAAGCATTATATATAGGGAATCGTATTGTAAGAACTCGCACCGTTAATTAAGGAAGTTAATTAATTAATTAAGAGAAATTTAGAAATAATTCCATAATGGATCCACATAATTATTATGAGGCTTTAATAATTCGAACGAAAAGTGCAGATACCGGTTCTGCTACTCGGTATAAATGCGTACCGGTGAAGAATCCCAGAAAATTATTAAAAGTGTTTTTATGTCACTAGAATAATATATAGGACTTGTAAAACAAGTTTCAAGTTAAAATAATGAAAACTGGTGCCAGAACTGATATTGGCTATGGAAAAGCGCGTACCGGAAAGCTGCTGCGAAAAATAAAATAAAAATATGACAAATCTTAGAAAAATGAGTAGGTTCTAATTCCAAAGTTTGGGATCAAAATGCTAAGCGTAACAATTAGCGTTAATACTGTGCGATTAAGACTTAAGTGACTATATATACATTAGTTTGACACTAAACCCTAGGCCATACACTCTTCATACGTGACTCTTGAGGGGCTGGTCAGCTGGTGCTTGGTTCTATTGTCTTCACCATTTTCTTGACCAAGTTGTCTACTTTGCTTGAGTTCTTCACCTTCGAGCTTGTATACACTTGAGAGCTATCATTGTGAGGGGGTGAGGGTGCATATTCTGTGTTCTTGCCACTGTGTGAAGTCAGTTTTGAGAGCTGAGTTTGAGAGTTGGGTTGTGACAACTGTGACACCCAGTATATATCCGGTTTGTTATCATGTCATCGTATTAAGCCACGCTTAATTTAAAAATGCGGAATATCTTTTTATTTTCAATTATGACGTCATTATACTTAGCCAAGTTGATTACTTAATCATTTAAATAAAACCATGCCTGTATGTAAATTGCAAAAGATAGCTAACTGAATACCTCATTAATTAAAATAACATATATAAGTCTCTAGTCACGGAGCCACAACACGTAGACCGGACAACCTACTAAGTTATACAACTCAACTCAAAGTACTAACATAAAGTGGCATGGACAAGCCACATGCTCACCCAAATAAGGCACAAGCCCAACAGAAGTCTCAACATCAACAGCATAATAAAAGCAACTAAAAACATAACATCAGCAGAATATCCAGCATTCAACATGTCAGCATATTAAACAGCAATAAT